AAAGAGGTAGTATTCTGCTTTTTGGCTTTTCCCCTCTCCTTTATTGAGTTATAAACCTTTTTGTGCTGTAACAGGTTTGCAAAGTGAAAAAGCCCAAAGTGAGTTCCCATCTCCCACAGAAAACTCTGCTCTGAACTGAAAACAGCTCGTTTGTAGTCCAGCTGCTTCCCTTTCATCCCTGTGACGTCACAGGTATATTGTTGGTATAGCTGGTAGGCTACTCAATAAAATTGAGCAGTCCTCACTGCTTGTCCTACAACAAAGGAAGCACTGGCGAGTAGTGTGATCTCGTCAAACAACCCATATCCTATTCTCCACGAGCCCGACTCTGCAGCCCTCCTGCTCGACGGCCGATGACTGGCTGACTTCCTTGATTCTCCCTGAGGGTCACAGATGAGGTGCTCCTAACAAATGAATGTCACTGAAATACTAACTGTATCATCAGAAAGCATTTACTGTGGGAATCCGAGGTTATCTCAACATGCAGAGTTACAACAGGTATTAAAGGGCCTCCTTACGTAACGTTTTTTTCACGCAGAGTTTGGGCGTGTCACTTCTATAACATTACATGAGTGTCTTTCAAGCTAATATTATGCCTATGCCTGGATAAATAGTGAAAGTGTGGAACGTAAAGCTTTTATTTAAACTGATTTTGAATTTAGACTGACGTTAAATACAGTCTAATACAAATGTCTCTCTTCAGTTTAACTGAATTTGTACTTTCTTTCTAATCTTAAATGATATCTGTATAGTCGTTGGCGCTGCTACAGGATTCATCAGGCTGTGGTCACCACAAACGAGCAGTAACTTCTGTGCGTTTGATTCTGAGCGGCAGATAGTGACCTTTCAAAATAAAGTGTTGACTTTTCAACAGAAATTCTTAACAGCAATTTTGTTTTGCATTTTACTAAACATCCTGCAAATATGCGAACATGAGGTTATTATGTTCAGGCTTGTTTTTGAATCTAAAAAAGTATTGTGGTATCCTAATAATGAGCGTGTTAAAAAAGACTCACTGGTTCAATGGTTCAAAATGTAAAGCACTGTTCTATAGTCAGTCTCTCTGCTGTACCACATTTCACTAGCAACGACCACACAATCAACAAGTACGATTAAATGATTTATCGATGATTGAATCAGAAAGCTGCACGAGGCATGCAGTAGCTGAATAGACAATCAAAAGCAATGTGGGGAAGCTACGATAGGGAAATCCGCCGTAGTACCCGGGAACAACGTACCCCCTCATAACCCTATGGAAAGGTAGAAGGAGATCACGAGGCAGACAAGAAAGGAGGGGAGTAATGCAGAATACGAGAGCAAGAAGAGGAGCTGTGGATATTTATGGAAATGCTGGCGATGACGTGGTTAATGTGTGGTCCCGCTCCTGAAACGCTAATTAGCGCCACATCATCAGATACTCAGAGGTGGAAAGTAACAAGAACAACAACACAAGTACCTTACGTAATGTTTGATGGAATTTGTACTTGGATAGCACAGAGACAGCACTGGTGAAAATTACTAATGACCTTCTTATTGCATCAGACAAAGGACTTGTCTCTGTACTGGTTTTATTAGATCTTAGTGCTGCATTTGATACCATTGACCATCAGATCCTATTGCAGAGACTGGAATATTTCATTGGCATTAAAGGAACCGCTCTAAGCTGGTTTAAGTCCTATTTATCAGATCGATTTCAGTTTGTACATGTTAACGATGAGTCCTCCATGCACGCCAAAGTTACTCATGGAGTTCCTCAAGGATCTGTCCTCGGACCAATCCTCTTCACTTTATATATGCTTCCTTTAGGCAATATTATCAGGAAATATTCCATAAGCTTTCATTGTTATGCAGATAATACTCACTTATATCTATCGATCAAACCAGATGAAACTCATCAGTTAGCTAAACTTCAAATGTGCCTTCAGGATGTTAAAACCTGGATGACCTGTAATTTTCTAATGTTAAACTCAGATAAAACTGAAGTTATTGTTCTGGGGCCTAAGCACCTCCGTGACGCATTATCTAAAGATATAGTTTCCCTGGATGGCATCGCCCTGGCCTCCAGCACCACTGTGAGGAATCTTGGAGTTATCTTTGATCAGGACATGTCGTTTAAGTCTCACATTAAGCAAATTTCAAGGACCGCCTTTTTCACCTACGTAATATTGCAAAATCAGGAACATCGTGTCTAAAAATGATGCAGAAAAACTAGTCCATGCATTTGTTACTTCTAGGCTGGATTACTGCAATTCCTTATTATCAGGCTGCTTGAAAAAGTCCGTTAAGACTCTTCAGCTGATCCAGAATGCTGCAGCACGTGTTCTGACAGGAACCAGGAAAAGAGATCACATTTCTCCTGTTTTAGCTTCTCTGCATTGGCTTCCAGTAAAATCCAGAATAGAATTTAAAATCATTCTTCTTACCTACAAAGCTCTTAATGGTCAGGCACCATCTTATCTTAAAGAGCTCATAGCACCTTACTACCCCACCAGAACACTGCGCTCCCAGAATGCAGGGTTACTTGTGGTTCCTAGAGTCTCCAAAAGTAGACTAGGAGCCAGAGCGTTCAGCTATCAAGCTCCTCTCCTGTGGAACCAGGTTCCAGTTTGGGTTCAGGAGGCAGACACCATCTCCACATTTAAGAGTAGGCTTAAGACTTTCCTCTTTGATAAAGCTTATAGTTAGGGCTGGCTCAGGTAGTCCTGAACCATCTCTTAGTTATGCTGCTATAGGCCTAGACTGCCGGGGGATTTCCCATGATGCACTGAGCTCCTCTCTCCTCTACTTTCTCTCCCTCTGTATGCAACCTCCCACATAATTTTAGACCAATTTCAAAACTGCCTTTTATTGCAAAGATTCTAGAAAGAATTGTGTCCAAACAGCTGCTCACTGTGCTGGAAAATAACAAATTATTTGAAAAGTTTCAGTCTGGTTTCAGGAAGTACCACAGCACTGAGACTGCCCTGCTTAAAGTCACCAATGACCTTTTAATGTCTGCTGATGAAGGTATGTGCTCAGTCCTTGTACTCCTGGACCTTAGCGCTGCTTTTGACACCATTGATCACAACATCATGTTAGACAGACTGAGGCACTGGGTGGGGATCTCTGGTACTGCTCTAGAATGGTTTTCATCTACCTGTCAAATAGGAAGTTTTGCGTGTCTGTAAACAACTATGTCTCTTCATTCTGTCCAGTTAAATATGGTGTGCCTCAGGGGTCGGTCTTAGGACCCATTTTGTTTTCCTTGTATCTGCTTCCCCTTGGACATATTATCCATAAACATGGCATTTCTTTTCATATTTATGCTGATGACACACAAATATACTTGCCCGTCAGATCCACAGACCCTGGAATGCTGAGTTCACTTAACAACTGCCTTTGTGAAGTTAAAAAATGGATGTCAAATAATTTCCTCCAGCTGAACTCAGACAAAACAGAAATCCTGGTCATTGGGTCCCAGCAGATGGCAAAACAAATACTGCCATCTGCTGGTTCCCTAGTAAATCACATTAAGCCTGTGGCAAAGAACCTTGGTGTTTGGTTTGATAGTAATTTAAATTTCGAGCAGCACACCACAAAGCTTGTTCAATCATGTTTTTATCAACTTAGAAATATAGCTAAAATTCCATCTATGTTAACTTTTAAGGACACCGAGACCATTTTACACGCCTTCATCTCATCACGCCTGGATTATTGCAAATCCAAAAATCTATTGATCGACTCCAGACTGTCCAGAACTCAGATGCCAGGCTTTTAACCAGAACAAAGAAATATGACCACATTACTCCTATTTTAGCTTCATTACACTGGCTCCCAGTATGTTTTAGAATTGACTTTAAAATTCTATTGATCACTTTTAAAGCTCTTCATGGCCTCTCACCTTGTTATATTTCTGACCTTTTAGTCCCATACGCACCAGCACGTACCATTATTATTTATTATTATTATTATTGCATGTTACTAACACAACTTCTCCCCTTTCTGGTAGTCTTGTGCTTTCTCGTCCCTCTCCTCTCTCCTCCTATCACTTCCTGCAGGTTTTCTGGCTCTGGAGCTGTGGAGTCTGGATCTGTGGTTGCGGGTCACCTGCTGCCCCCGTGTTCCTGCTCGACACCCTCTGCTGCAACGACTATTGTTGCTAGTCTTATTGTTATTATTGTTATTATAATCATTAACATTACGACTGTTACCATTACCACTACTATAAATATCTGTACCATTTTTCATTTAGTCTATAGCAACATCACCTTTACTGTCTGTACCTCTGTGTGTATATTGTGTAGGCTGCCTCCCTCCCCTCTCTCTCTTACATCCCTCTCTTTTCTCTCTGTTCCTCTCCTGCTCTCTCTCTCTCTTTCTCTCTCTCTCCCTCTCTCTCCTTCACCCCAACCGGTGGAGGCAGATGGTCACCCACCCTGAGTCATGGTTCTGCTCGAGGTTTCTGCCTCTTAAAGGAAGTTTTTCCTTGCCTCTGTCTCCTAGTGCTGCTAATGGTGGGAACTGTTGGGCTTCTGTAAATATCATCATAGAGTTCGGTCTAGACCTGCTCTTTATGAAAAGCGCTGTGAGATAACTGTTATGCGCTATCTAAATAAAATAGAATTAAAATTGAATTGAAATTTGATTCCTTCAAGTTAGAATATTTACTAATGAGAAGAAACCATAGATTTGCTGAATTGTTTTATTTCAGACTGTTTCTTCTTGTTTGTTTCTTCTCTTCTTCCATTTTTACTTCACCACCTGTTTCACTACCACGGCTTTTATTTTGAAACGTAAACAGAGCGGACCAGACGCGAGCTTTTATTTTGAAGGCTACACCGTCTCTCCCAGCAAAGTGTGAAACCAGGCAGGTCTAATCTGGATCCAAGTTCCGTCCTGGACCTCAGAAAGAGTTCATACACTTACTGACCCGGACGAACCGCCGCTAAGCCCCGCCCACCTCCCCAGCAGCCGATCGTTCATTGGTCCGTGCAGATGACCCGTCCTCTCCGGCTTGTGTGTCCAGCTGCGGGTTTTTGTCTCTGATCAGTGGACTGAGAGAAAGCGGTTTGCCTCGCGCCCCACGCAGCTCCTCCAGGTAAGACCGAGCAGAGGTCTGAAGCGGTCTGAGCAGGACTGCTCTGATCCCTCTGGCTGCATTTCACTTCTTACAGGCTGAAGGTTTGATGACCAGCACGCTGCTGATGTGAAAGAAGCAGCTGCTGTTTGGTTTTCACAGTAAAGTCAACCAGACATCAGGAGAACAGCTGCTGCTTCATCAACCTGCTCCTCACGTAGCCCAGAGGTTTAAAATGCTTCCCAGCTTTTTACCAGCCAGCCTGCAGAAAGTGGAAACAGGAGCTGTTCTGTTACTGTGGACAATTAAAGGTGCATTTTATTTATATAACACCCAGAAACTTTAGAGCTGACACAATTTATTTCTGTCACATAGGCGGAAACTGTGGGGGGGGGGTTATGAAACTGCTGACAAGTAAAGTCAGAACAGAGTTACAGGCAGAGAGACAGACAGGTGAAGGTGTGTCTGAAGGGAAAAGCAAGGTGAGCAGATCAGTGCAGTTGTGAGGAAACACGAAAATAAGGTGGAGAATTAAAGAGAGAGAGATTAGAAATCAGATATTAGAAACAGGTTAATGTGTTCTTTCAAATATTTTCAGTTAAAATATATTTAAAAATGGCATAATTTAATAATTTTTTTATTGGATTTTATTTGTAGCTACAGAACAGAATGGAGAAAAGTTAGAAAGATGGGGGTTTTTTATGTCAGTTATAATTCATAAATCGGCAGGTTTTAGTGACATCTAATGGTGAGGGTTGCGAATTAGAAGAATCCCTCCCCCCGTTGGTACGGTGCCTGAGACAGGACAAAGATGTCATCTGTGAGATAGCAGAGTTTGCCAGTTAAGAAATCAGGTTTCTTTAGATAGATTACTTAATTATCCAGTAAAAACACATGCTGCATGATGTCTCATACTCCTGTAATACAGAATTTTACATGTTGGGAGGGTTGGCTCATCTGGACTAACGCACCAAAGTAAATGAAGAAGATCTCAAACACCATCACATCTAGTGCATCAAGTATGACCACTGACAGATACCAGGACAATGTGAGCTCACTGTTTCTGCACCACAGTCCATTATAAACCGCCGACCCACAGGCTGGAGAAACCAATCCAACTAATGGGTGGTGGTGGTGCTAGATAAGATGCCTGCCTTTGGTGTGGGAGACCTGGGTTCCAATTCCCACTGTGAGACCTCCACCATGTGTCCCTGAGCAAGACACTTAACCCCTCGTTGCTCCAGAGGCGCGACCTCTGATATATCCAGCAATTGTAAGTCGCTTTGGATAATAATGGATTTTTGCAGATTTTACAGTTTGATAGTCCACAAGCTGTAGTACATTTAGTCCAGCAGGGTTCTCGTTATGGTCCATAAGGAGGGTCTGAGCTCTTATTGAGGCAGTAAAATCATGCATCTGTGGGGGTCACTAATTCATTTACCAACAACCATTATTTTTAATCATACGTATTTTCATTGAATTATTTACATTAATAGGATAAACAGGCTAAAATAAACATGTTTTCCAAATGCCGTAGTATATATTACTCTTCAAAGGGAAATTATGAAGGAGAAGTGTGTTTGTGTGTGTTTTAAGAAGACTGGAAGAGAGGCTAAGTTACACTCTTAATCAACGACGATGTTTTTCTGTGAATTCAATTCAATTCAATTCAATTTTATTTATATAGCGCCAAATCACAACAACAGTTATCTCACAGCGCTTTTCATAAAAGAGCAGGTCTAGACCGTACTCTGTGATGTTATTTACAGAAGCCAACAGTTCCCACCAAGAGCAGCACTAGCGACAGAGGCAAGGAAAAACTTCCTTTAAGAGGCAGAAACCTCGAGCAGAACCATGGCTCAGGGTGGGCGGCCATCTGTCTGAGAGAGAGAGAGAGAGGGAGAGATGTAAGGAGAGAGAGAGAGAGATGTAAGGAGAGAGAGAGGGGAGGGAGGCAGCCTACACAATATACACACAGAGGTACACACAGTGAAGGTAATGTTGCTATAGACTGAATGAAAAATGGTACAGATATTTATAGTAGTGTTAATGGTAACATCGTAATGTTAATGATTATAATAACAATAATAACAATAAGACTAGCAAAATAGTCGTTGCAGCAGAGGGTGTCGAGCAGGAACACGGGGGCAGCAGGTGACCCGCAGCCACAGATCCAGACTCCACAGCTCCAGAGCCAGAAAACCTGCAGGAAGTGATAGGAGGAGAGAGGAGAGACGAGAAAGCACAAGACTACCAGAAAGGGGAGAAGTTGTGTTAGTAACATGCAATAATGGGATGAGGTTGCATACAGAGGGAGAGAAAGTAGAGGAGAGAGGAGCTCAGTGCATCATGGGAAATCCCCCGGCAGTCTAGGCCTATAGCAGCATAACTAAGGGATGGTTCAGGACTCACCTGAGCCAGCCCTAACTATAAGCTTTATCAAAGAGGAAAGTCTTAAGCCTACTCTTAAATGTGGAGATGGTGTCTGCCTCCTGAACCCAAACTGGAACCTGGTTCCACAGGAGAGGAGCTTGATAGCTGAACGCTCTGGCTCCTAGTCTACTTTTGGAGACTCTAGGAACCACAAGTAACCCTGCATTCTGGGAGCGCAGTGCTCTGGTGGGGTAGTAAGGTACTATGAGCTCTTTAAGATAAGATGGTGCCTGACCATTAAGAGCTTTGTAGGTAAGAAGAATGATTTTAAATTCTATTCTGGATTTTACTGGAAGCCAATGCAAAGAAGCTAAACAGGAGAAATGTGATCTCTTTTCCTGGTTCCTGTCAGAACACGTGCTGCAGCATTCTGGATCAGCTGAAGAGTCTTAATGGACTTTTTCGAGCAGCCTGATAATAAGGAATTGCAGTAATCCAGCCTAGAAGTAACAAATGCATGGACTAGTTTTTCTGCATCATTTTTAGACAGGATGTTCCTGATTTTCGCAATATTACGTAGGTGAAAAAAGGCGGTCCTTGAAATTTGCTTAATGTGAGACTTAAACGACATGTCCTGATCAAAGATAACTCCAAGATTCCTCACAGTGGTGCTGGAGGCCAGGGATGCCATCCAGGGAAACTATATCTTTAGATAATGCGTCACGGAGGTGCTTAGGCCCCAGAGCAATAACTTCAGTTTTATCTGAGTTTAACATGAGAAAATTACAGGTCATCCAGGTTTTAACATCCTGAAGGCACATTTGAAGTTTAGCTAACTGATGAGTTTCATCTGGCTTGATCGATAGATATAACTGAGTATCATCTGCATAACAATGAAAGCTTATGGAATGTTTCCTGATAATATTGCCTAAAGGAAGCATATATAAAGTGAAGAGGATTGGTCCGAGGACAGATCCTTGAGGAACTCCATGAGTAACTTTGGCGTGCATGGAGGACTCATCGTTAACATGTACAAACTGAAATCGATCTGATAAATAGGACTTAAACCAGCTTAGAGCGGTTCCTTTAATGCCAATGAAATATTCCAGTCTCTGCAATAGGATCTGATGGTCAATGGTATCAAATGCAGCACTAAGATCTAATAAAACCAGTACAGAGACAAGTCCTTTGTCTGATGCAATAAGGAGGTCATTAGTAATTTTCACCAGTGCTGTCTCTGTGCTATGATGAGCTCTAAATCCTGACTGAAAATCCTCAAATAAACTATTGCTCTGTAGAAAGTCACACAGCTGTTTAGCAACTGCTTTCTCCAGAACCTTAGAGAGAAATGGAAGGTTAGATATAGGTCTATAGTTGGCTAAAACATCCGGATCAAGTTTGGGCTTTTTCAGAAGAGGTTTAATTACAGCTACTTTAAAGTACTGTGGTACATAGCCTGTTGATAAAGATAGATTGATCATATCTAGTATATAGAGGTGCTGACTAAGGGTAAAACATCTTTAAGCAGCCTAGTCGGGATGGGGTCTAAGAGGCAGGTTGATGGTTTAGATGAAGAAATTATTGAAGTTAGTTGGTAAAGATTGAGGGAAGCAAAACAGTCTAAACATGTATCTGGTTCTACAGCTGTTTCTAAGGTTCCTGAGTTAAGAGATAAGTCGGTGCCAATTGAGGGCAGGTCTTGGTGAATTTTGTCTCTAATAGCTAGAATTTTATCATTAAAGAAGCTCATGAAGTCGTAACTACTGAGAGCTATGGGAATACTTGGCTCAATAGAGCTGTGACTCTCTGTCAGCCTGGCTACAGTGCTGAAAAGAAACCTGGGGTTGTTCCTATTTTCCTCTATTAATGACGAGTAGTACGCTGCTCTGGCATTACGGAGGGCCTTCCTATAAGTTTTAAGACTATCTTGCCAAATTAAACGAGAATTTTCCACTTTGGTGGAACGCCAATTCCTCTCAAGTTTCCGTGATATTTGCTTTAATTTGCGAGTTTCAGTATTATACCATGGAGCTAACCGTCTTTGTTTTAGTATTTTCTTTTTTAGAGGGGCTACAGAGTCGAGTGTCATTCGCAGCGAGCCTGCAGCACTATCAACAAGATGATCGATTTGGGAGGGACTGAAATTAGCATAGGAGTCCTCCGTTACTTTGTGACTAGATAATGTATTTAGAGCTGATGGAATCGCATCCTTAAATTTAGCTACAGCACTATCAGACAGACATCTTGTATAGAAATTTTTGCCCAATGGCGTGTAGTTCAGCAATACAAACTCAAAAGTTATCAAACAGTGGTCGGACAAAGAGGGATTCTGTGGGAACACCACTAAATGTTCAATTTCAATACCATACACCAAAACAAGGTCGAGGGTGTGGTTAAAACAGTGAGTCGGTTCATGAACACTCTGAGAGAAGCCGATGGAATCTAACAGAGAGATAAACGCAGTACTGAAGCTGTCATTCTCAACATCCACATGAATATTAAAATCCCTACAATAATAACTTTGTCCGTTTTAAGGACTAAAGTTGACAAAAACTCTGCAAATTCAGATAAGAATTCAGAGTACGGGCCAGGTGCTCGGTACACTATAACAAAAAGAATTGGTTGCAGTGATTTCCAACTTGGGTGCGAAAGACTAAGAACAAGACTTTCAAATGAGTTATAGTTTAGTTTAGGTTTAGAGCTGATTAGTAGGCTAGAGTCGAAGATAGCTGCAACTCCACCTCCTCGGCCTGTGCCTCGAGGAATGTGAGTATTAATATGACTGGGAGGGGTGGATTCATTTAGGCTAACATATTCTCCATCACCCAGCCAGGTTTCAGTAAGACCAAATAAATCAATATCATAATCTGATATTAGTTCATTTACTAGTACACCTTTAGAAGAGAGAGATCTGATGTTTAAGAGTCCACATTTAACTCTCCTATTCGTTTGCACTATTGCTCTTGTGGTTTTAATTTTTATGAGGTTTTTATGCACAGCTCCTCTTCTGTTTACCTTTTTAAATAATTTCGATGGTCGGGGGGCAGACACCGTCACTATAGGATTTTCACTAAGTAACTCCTGAAATGGAGGAGCAGAGAAGTGTGTTAGACTGCGACTCTGCGTAGGGTTTTGGGTGGGTAACTGCTGAAAAAGAAGGGCAGAGAAGTGTGTTAAACTGCGACTCTGCCTCCTGGTCTCAACTCTGGGTTGTCATGGATTTGGTCCACTAATAAACTTGGCCAGATTTCTAGAAATGAGAGCTGCTCCTTCCCAAGTGGGATGGATGCCGTCTCTCCGGATCAGACCAGGTCTTCCCCAGAAAGTCTGCCAATGATCAACAAAGCCCACATCGTTTGCTGGACACCACCTCGACAACCAGCGGCGGAATGACGACATGCGGCTATACATGTCATCACTGGTCAGATTTGGCAGGGGTCCAGAGAAAACTACGGTGTCCGACATTGTTTTTGCATATGTACACACCGACTCAACATTAATCTTAGTGACCTCCGATTGGCGTAACCGGGAGTCATTACCGCCGACGTGAATAACAATCTTACTGTATTTACGTTTATCCTTAGCCAGCAGTTTCAAATAAGACTCAATGTCGCCCGCTCTGGCCCCAGGGATGCACTTAACTATGGCCGCTGGCTTCGCTAACTTCACGTTTCTCAAAATGGAGCTGCCAATGATCAGAGTTGGTTTCTCAGCGGGTGTGTCGCTGAGTGGGGAAAATCTGTTAGAAACGTGAACAGGTTGATGATGCCCCGTGGACTTTGAAAGCTTACGACTATTCCTCCTTCGGACAGTCACCCAGCCCCCTTTCCTGGCTGCACAGGGGATGCCGGAGGACGGCTACCAGAGGCTAACTCAGGCCGTTCCGCACCGACTACCGGGGACTGGCTAGCTACAGTAGCTAAAGACTGATCTACCAAGGTGCGGAGCCGGACTTCTAAATCACTGAGCCTCGCCTCCATGTCTATAAATAAACTACACTTATTACATGTACCATTACCGCTAAAGGAGGCAGAGGAGTAACTGAACATCTGACACACCGAGCAGGAGAAAGTAGGAGAGAGAGAGGGAGAAGGAATGGATGTGGCTGTGTGGACGGAGTTAACGTCCTATTTTGACAAAATAAATAAATAGTGTCTGTAAAAAAACAATAAAAACAAAAGATACTGTTACTAGTTGAATAATTGAAGCAATATACCAGCCTGTTCTCATGCTCAGGCATCACATATACACGAGATTGGGGTGACTGGAAACGATAGTAGCGCTTCCGGTCACTAACTAGCTAGCGATGTTTTCATTTAAGGAGTTGACAATTTACCCTAACCTTAACCATCACAGAGGTTAGAGCCTAAACCTAAGTCAGTAAATACATGCAATAGCGTTGTGTTGATCAGGTTAGATATACAGTCGGCTTTGTTGCTACACTGGCACGTTAAGTGCTAAGAAGACAGAATAGGCACAAATCAATATGCTATATTTAAGGAATTAGCCTGCTAGTTTTCACTCACAATGTTGACTAATTAATTAAATTCAAATCAACGACAAAATCCCTCCCCTGTAAGTGTCTACATGATTAAATTTTATAATGTTTGAATGTGTTTCTTGTCAAATCACACGATTTTATTTTGTACATGCGTTTCCTGTCCTGACAGAGGAGCCTGCATCAGAAGCGGTCTGCAGTTGGACCTTCTTGGAATAAACACACACATCTCAGACATATAGTTAAACTAAATCCAAATAGATTTCAGTTACAATCTAATAGATGAAATCCTGATGGCAGTGATGCATACTGTAAACACAGCCGCTGCTCTGTCTCACTCTCCCCCTGCCATGGCCTCCCTCATCCTCTCCCCCAGTAGAGTTTCCCTCTCTTTTCTGAACCTGGTATCTTCTGTTCTGTCCCTGCAGCTCTCGCTGTGCAGCCGTCTCTGTGAGCGTCTCCCTCTTATTGGCAGCAGCTGCAGCAGGTCAGTCACAGTGATTCAACCACATCAGTCAGCATCTTTACATCCTGTCACGGCCACATAACGAAGGTTTAATCAGCTGATATATCTCCTGAGTGTGTTTCAGTATCTCTAGTCTCAGATTACCTCCAGCAGCAGCGGCAGCAGCAAGCTGATGATACATGAGGCAACTTTTTGATGGCAAGTCCGACTATGTTTTGAACAGACAGCTGCAGGGCGGGATGGGTGGCGGAGCAGTGGGGGGAGGGATTACAGTAGTAATCTTTACTCATTACCACTGAGGGCAATATTGCCCAGCACCGTTGCTCTAAAAGTTGCTCCGTGTGTCATCAGCTTTAATGTTGGGCAACTTCAGACACTTCAGTTTCTAATCCCAGAGTTATTAAACAGGTGCAAAGAAAATAGTCTTTACGTTTTAAACTTTAAATGGTCTTTTCTGTTCTGTGTTTCTTTTTCTAAACTGTAACGAATACTTTACGATATATTTCTGTATCGACATGTTGAGCACAGCTCTCTTCAAATCTTTGTCCACGTGCCCTTTTTATACAGTGAGCACCTGCCCCTCCAAAGGTCTCTGCACGGCAGAGTGTTAACGGTGCGTCTGACAGATGTTCAGGAGCTGCAGACAAAATCAGGCAAATACCTTCTGATCTGAAAGTTTGGTTATTCTACTAATGCAAATGACACTGGGCCTCTGGCCGAGTTGGAAAACAGCCAGACTCTTTCAGCGGCTACAGAAATACTGTCACTTTCCATTAACAGCCTGTGGCGGTTTACGGGGGGAGCCAACAGGGGCCAGTGCCCCTGTAACACAGACCCCTTATGGCCCAACTCTGAACGAAAAGTCTAAAAAAATCATAGTTAAATATTTTCCTTGCGACAATATGGTGCTGATGCGAAAGGCGGAACAAATGTATCTCAAGTAGTTGGATCCTTTAGGACGTTACACGACTGTCCGGTGCCAAGGTAGTAACCCTGAGCGCGCGTGCTTTCAACGGTGAAGCCGGACTTTCGACTTCACAAAAGTAACTGAAAAATACATGTGGATTGTTTCATCTAATGTTTTAGTATTGATCAACAAATCTTTTGCAGTTTGTGTGTTTTTGAACTTAGTATTTTCATCGCACTGAATTGAGAATGTCTAAACAAAATGAGCAGTTTCAGTTTCCCTCGTAAAGCAAACATTTATTTCACTAGAGTCTGACAACGTTATAACTGACCACGTAGTCGATCACTTAGTCATCAATGTTACTGTTTGGAAGCTGGGTCCAGACAGACTGTCACACAAATTTCTACGCCATCGATACTGTATCAACATCACTGTAATCAGTTTAACACTTTGCTCGCCTCAACGTTACATCTGCTTGACTCAAAATGTACAGTAAACTGAATGCAGTATTGTAGACAACATTTTGTCCTTGTAATCCATGTTTCCACTGCATGGATAGCCTTTGGATATTGCTGGAAATTGTCCCCTACTTAAAGAGTAAATTATCATAACAATCTAACAATGCATTGCATTTAAACAGCATTTTTCATACACAAAAAGTAATAACAGTACCCTACAGGTCCTACCAGGCTCAACATGCATGGTTATGAATAACGTTACGCGAGACTTGTTTGTTTTTTCTATTCCAGCCAGTGAGGTTAAGAAATGTTAAGTACTATAAAAACCATACTCATTGATGCTGTTATGAATACGGGATCAGTTAAACTGTCGGGAGGGACCTGCTTTGTTTTTTATTATTTTTAAATATCATATATCCATAGCCTATAGATAGCTACAGCATCCTCTGGTCTAAGAAGCTGCAGTGTTTGCAGTTTGCCTGCTCGTTGACTCCTCATTATTGTCCCAGTAAAGTGGATTAATTTTTAAAAAGCACTGCTGAACAGGTTTCCTGTCACTTTTAAGGACGGGGTGCGGTGGTTGAAAGTCATTGTAACGGAACGAGTAACGTGACTGTTTACTTTTAATACCCAGTAATAAGTAAAGTAATATTATTACTTTTTAAAGGAGTAATAAGTAAAAAGTAAGTCATTGCAATTTCTGAGTAATTTACCCAACACTGCAGCTAGATGTGCCGTATAAACTAATGTGCCGTGAAGACAGAATGCTGCTTTCTACCCCCTGGTTGCGCGTGCTTCTCGGTGATGACGTTGCACAGAAACCCGTCTATACAATAATAACACAATAAAAATTAGACACAGGCTACACTATAGACAACACAAATATACACTATGAATAAAATAATTGACAAATAGTGCGAAGGATGCAGGAGTAAAATTATTATTACGTACATGTCGGAGGTGGATGTGATATACAGGTACACATACATGCGTACATGTACACAGTGCAAAGGATGCTGGAATAACTAAGTATTATGTGTAGGTGTGATGTACTTGAGGTAGGTGGATTTGGTATACAGTATATACAACATGACGATATGACATAGTATGAACAGCTCTGAAATAGAGAATGGTGAATAAATAGATAATAAGTGGAAACCAGTAAACAGGTGCTGATTAGAGACAGAGTTACTGGGTTATTGCACAGGAATTGTTCCTGACACTGTGAGTCAGAAATCAGCTGTTCATCAGAGTGATGGCTTGTGGGAAGAAACTGTTCCTGAGTCTGTTGGTTTTGGCGTACAGTGCTCTGTAGCGCCTACCAGAGGGGAGGAGCTGGAACAGGTTGTGTCCGGGGTGAGATGGATCTGCAGTGATGTTTCCTGCCCGTTTCCTGACTCTGGAAATGTAAAAGTCCTGAATGGAGGGCAGGTTGGCACCGATGATCTTTTCTGCAGTCCTGACTGTCCATTGTAGTCTGCTCCTGTCCTTTTTGGTGGCAGATCTAAACCAGACAGTGATGGAGGTGCAGAGAACAGACTGCATGATGTCTGTGTAGAACTGGATCAGCAGCTCCTTAGGCAGGTTGAGCTTCCTGAGCTGGCGCAGGAAGTCCATCCTCTGCTGGGCTTCTTGATGATGGTGTCAGTGTTGGGCTCCCACTTCAGGTCCTGGGATATAGTGGATCCCAGAAACCTGAAGGATTCCACAGCAGACACAGTTTAGTATGGTGATCGGGGGCAGAGTGGGGGGGCTCCTCCTGAAGTCCACGGTCATCTCCACAGTTTTGAGCGTGTTAAGCTCCAGGTTGTTCTGACTGCACCAGAGAGCCAGCTGATCAACCTCCCGTCTGTAGGCCGACTGTGTAGAGGGAGAAGAGCAGTGGGGAGAGCACACACCCCTGGGGGGGCGCCAGTGCTGATAGTCCGGGTGCTGGATGTGATGTTTCCCAGTCTGCTGACTCCTGTCAGTCAGGAAGTCTGTGATCCACTGACAGGTGGAGGCTGGCACAGGTAGCTGGGTGAGTTTGGTGCTGAGGATGTCCGGGATGATGGTGTTGAACGCCGAGCTGAAGACCACGAACAGGATCCTTGCATGTGTCCCTGGAGAGTCGAGGTGTTGCAGGATGTGATGCATGGATGTAAAGCAGGGGTCGGCAATTAAGTCTGGCGTGAATGATCAATCCCAACATGCAACAGATTATAAGGACGCTTTTGCACATTCTCACAATAAAGCATGTGCTGCACTGTGTGCACGTCCAGACGTTTGATTTGTATTAATAAACCTACGGACGCTTATTTTGATTTTTTGAAATCCAATCACATGTTTACTGATGACTTTTTCAGAGGTGTGTCAAGTAGCCCAGAGATTCTTCTGAATGTCCATCAGAACTTTACAAATTAAAAGCTCTCAGTAAACTCAACATGAAGCTATGCTGCAAAAAACGTTCTCTCGCTTTTATTTTGGAGGCCCAATCACTTAAGAGGAAGAGATTCTGTAAGTAACTGTAGCTGTCATGAGTTCGGTTTTAGCACCAGCCGCTATCAGTTTATTTTTTATGTATTTTTTCTGCTATCAAAGCAATCTGGCCGCGGGCCTGATATTATTGCTGGGGGGTCGGTTCTGCCTATTGCTGACCACTGATGTAAAGTAGAGTCCCTAAATGTAAAAAAAAAAAAAGAATAGAGTGGGAGATGGGGAATCAAAGGATTAAAATAAAATAAGCTAAGAGATCTGCCTGTTTTTTTTTCTAGATATCTCTACTATATATAATTTTTTAATATTTCCCTGTTGCTTGTATGTTTTATGTGAAGCATTTTGGTGTTGAAATGTGCTATACAAATAAACTTGCCTTGTCATTGTCCCTTTGTACCTGGAGAGAACTGTGAGGCCGAGACAGCCACACCCTCTGCCCCCCCGGCCTGTTACTGCGTCACACAGAAACCAGTCAAAGCTGTGGTGTTATTGAAGCAGGTGGAGCAGGTAAGAAGCACAGCAGTGTCTCGTTCTTTAAATGTGGGATGTTTTACTGTTGGATCCAGATTTATATGCAGATTCATCAACAGTCTGTCGATCAGTGCTGCTCCTCAGGTCACTGCTTTTGATTATTTTGCTTTGTTTTAACCTTGCAGTAAGTCTGACTTTGATGGTATCATAGTTTGACCTCTGACCTCTTGTTCAGAACAGTGCTCACAGACTGCTGCTGAGTTTATCATGTGTTGTTTTTATCTTTTTGAGGACCTTTAGTTACAGTCAGCTGTTTATCTGAACACAGAGAAAGTGAAAGCTGAAAGGACACACTGAGCATGCTCACTGCTGCTCTGCCTGCACTGCCGCACACAGCTTCTGCAAACAGCTAAGGGCGGCCGGATCATTTTACCCACAGCAAGAAAACATCTCTTCATCCTGCAGAGAAGTCACCAAAGTGTTTAACTCATGCACTAAATCAAAGACTGAATCTAAATCTAGCAGTGAAACACAGTGAGATCAGGGCAGTTTCTGGGTTGAAATGTTGTGAAACAGGTTTTTGTTTTCTCTCGTTTGGTGTGTGTGTGTCAGAGGTGTAACCCAACCAGCAGCGACATGTATAGAAACCCTGCCATATTAAAAAGGCGTAGTCTGCATACTACAACAGGTGTTAAAAACAGCACCCTTTCCATTTTGCTGCATTTCATCAGGATTAACACACCCCTGCTGACACTTCCTGCTCCTCTGTTTGCTGAGGGCGGATCCTTTCAGCTGTCAATCACATATAGTTATGTGTTTAGATTGACTTATACCAAGTGTCCAACAGCTCTCTGTTAGTTTTGAGTTGTTTTAAAGATACTAGTTTATGTGCAGCTCATTTAAAACCCCTCTCTAGTGAGAGACCCTCCCTGTGATCTCTCACCAGAGATGCTCACAAGTCTTTGAGCTAGAGTCCAAGTCAAGTCTCAAGTCTTTGAGCTAGAGTCCAAGTCAAGTCTCAAGTCTCTCGTGGTTATTTCGAATGTTGTATCACCTGCTGCTTTCAATCCAGGTTGCTAATAAAACTGCATAGCTATAAGGAATTCTGTAACTGTAACCTGTTTTTCATTTACAGAGCACAACCATGTGATGTACAATGCAACTATTAACAGCTTATTAAATACTGTAAGTCAACACACTCCGCAGACTCTTAAACCAGTTTTATAAGTTATAACTAAATAAAACTGTAAGGCTACATGATCAACAATAAACCTGGAACCTCTTTCTAGCCAACGGTAATAATTAACGTGATGGCAGCCAGTGGGATGTAAAGGATTACAAGTTTGGCAGGTAAACAAACACTCATTCATCTTTTCATAATGAACAACAGTCGGAGTTAACCTCTGTAGGTCGTAGCTGAAGCAAGAAGCAAGCTAACGTTCGATGGTCAATGCTGAGCTAAACATGTTTACTCACCACAGGTTACTAACCTATTTGCGTTTAGAGTTTCTTTGTTTGGGTCTTGTTGTTGTATGAAGTTTGGATGAACGGCCGAGCAGCTGCCGGTGTTTGTTGTCCTCTCTCACGTGTGGAAGCAGATACTACGTGTTACGTAGGAAGGTTGTAGGTACGGAGGGAGGGAATAACAGCACGCTCATCAGACGTTTTCTAAAAATAAACATTGTTCACGAGTCCCGCACCTCGAGTCCGAGTCCAGTCTGAAGTCACTGTGCATGCAACTTAAGTCGCACTCGAGTCCGAGTCTCTAACTCGAGTCCCCGACTTTGTCACTCATGACCTCACATTCCAGCTGCTGTAGTGGATCTGCTTTATATTGATCAGATCTCCAAAAGTGGTGTGGGAAACGGGTTTGATTCCAACTGTGACACATCCACCAATGTGTCCCTGAGCAAGACGCTTAACTTCTGTTCAATTCGATTTTTATCTCGACAGTTATCTCAATGTGCTATTCATCTAGACCGTACTGTGTGATGATCTATACAGAGAACCAATGATTCCCACCAGAAGCAAGAACTGGGTGACAGAGGGAAGAAACCTCTAGCAGAACCATGACTCAAACCTAGTTCCCACTAAATTTTTAGCCTGATTTCCCGCTCGTGACCGTCAGGCTGACTCAACATCCACATCCAGCCAATGAGAGCAGGCAACTACTTTCTACTCCCTGCAGCTCTCTGTAGCTCAGACGATCCCTGCTGCCTGCGTGTGCGAATCCATTCTTTCACCCAGATTCTTTCTTTATAACTGCTATCTTTATAATAACAGCTGTTTCCTGTGTAGGATCGCCTCATTTACCGTTTCACATTTCACATGTGTTTTCTTGACTAAACGTGGTTTGGAGAGCAGCGCTGGGTGACACAGCTGCTGTCAGCTCGTGTAGTGTGTGACTTCACACAGCACGGCCATCTGCCGACGCTGAAAGACGTGTAGTCTGCACGAGCCTTCAGGGTGGGTGGCCATCTGCCTCGAATGGTTGGGGAGGAGGGAGAGAGAGACGGAGAGTACACAGTGGCAGAGCGATCAGAAAGTGAGGAGGACATTAGCAGACTCTCTGACCACAACTTGGCTATAGACACTGGCTGACACAGACAGACCTGGCTGCCCAGAAAAGGCTGTGTCAGCTCTGTCCAAAGACACAGGTGGAGACAGGCTGTGCTTCTAGCCTGAGATGAGGTTTTTATACAAATAAAGATCATTTCTTGTGCTCATGGCAGCCTGTTCTGACCACCCGTATGCCGGACTCACACAGGCGGTGTGTTACGACTGCCAGAACTAATTGCAGCCATTGTAGTCAATGCTTTGCTCACACCAGAAGTGGCCCATAAGCGGCTCCTGACTCCTCTGCATGGAGAATAAGCATCTGGACAAGCAGCACAGAGCAAATGAACCGGGCGGGATTGCAGACAAAAGAGAGATCTGGTCGATTTTCAAAATAAACTACCTTGTGCAGACTCTTGATCGTTTATCAACGATAAAGAAATTTAAACGGACAAAAAAAAGAAACAATTTAACTATGTAGCCTTATTAACCATGGCAGAAGCACAAAAATCAAGGACAACTCACCAAATCAACTAAATCTAAACAATTCAGCAAAATCAGCCAGCCAACACACTCTAATTCTGAAATGCTTCATGTGTGCTGTGGTCTGACGAGTCCACATTTGCTGGAAATTATGGACGTCGTGTCCTCCGGGCCAAAGAGGAAAAGCACCATCCGGATTGTTATCAGTGCAAAGTTCAAAAGCCAGCATCTGTGATGGTCTGGGGGTGTGTTAGTGCCCATGGCAGGGGGAACTTGCACATCTGTGAAGGCACCATTAATGCTGAACGGTACATACAGGTTTTGGAGCAACATATGCTGCCATCCAAGCAACGTCTTTTTCAGGGACATCCCTGTTTATTTCAGCAAGACAATGCCAAGCCACATTCTGCACGTGTTACAACACGTGGCTTCATAGTAAAAGAGTGTAGGTACTAGACTGGCCTGCCTGCAGTCCAGACCTGTCTCCCATTGAAAATGTGTGGCGCATTATGATGCGCAAAATACGACAACTGCGACCCCGGACTGTTGAGCAACTGAAGTTGTACATCAAGCAACGTCCCAACTTCATTGGAATTGTATTATATTAATATACAAAAACATAAACATAGAAAGTGGCATGACAAGAAAATCCTCAAGTAAAGTATAAATAGGCTACCTCTAATTTGGACTTCATTACAGTAGGCCTACTTAAGTTACTGTCCACCACTGGAAATAACTGCAGAACCACTGCGGTGCATTATGGCTTCGCTGCGGTTGCTGGGGCTAATTGCGGCTGTTATAGTCAATGCTCGTGAGTCCACCAGCTGCGGCCCTGAAGCGTCCCAGCAGCGGCTCTCCGCTCCGCAGAGAATAGGTAGCAAGGCTATTTTTGCCGCTAGCCTCGTCAAGCAGCACAGAGCAGATCGAACCAGGCAGGAAGTCAGACACAGAACGGCAGAGAGGATACGGTCAATTTTCAATAAAACACCCTGTGGAGACTCCGGATTGTAAAACAACAATAAACACAGTTACACCGGACACAAAGAAATCATTTAACTACATATCCTACTTAATCACAGTAGAAGCACAAATGAAAACACTGGTTATCAGGCAAAACGCTCTGATTCTGAAATGCTCTCTGTGGGAAATGCAGCCTGAAGTTGACAGAATGAAAGTGGGTCACATAGAGCTGTGAAAAGGTAGTAGAAGCACGAAAAGGACAAATTAATAACAAGTCAATAACGTGGGGCAGGCTGCTCCGCTGCTGAAACACTTCTGACACGCTTCCAGTGGACGGCGGGCTGAGGAAGCATCAAAACCGTGGCGCAGCTGTAACGTGCTGTAGCAGTGGATTCCCGGCGTAACACTTCAGAGCTGTCTATACACAATAAAGCTTACCTCTGTAACCAACAGCGGTTGTTCCCCACAAGCACTAACTGACAGTGGGTGGAAATATCAGTTGTCTCATTTGCCTGAACAGCGCCCTCTATTGGCCAGCTGCCACTGGCGCAGCCATAATGCAGCACACATGCTACCTGCGTGATTCCGGGGTTACCCTTCATGAATGAATGACTGAACGGTGTGGACATAACACTGCAGGGAAAACTCTAATAGACAACATCTTAAAAGGCCTTGCACATGGTTGCATGTGTGGGTGGATGATGGATGTGCAAGTAAAAGGTTTTGGGACAGTGTGGGTTTCTGCAAACTGTTTGACTTCGACAATCTAAAACTCTTGTCTTGCATTCATGAAAACATCAATATCAAAAGGTTACAAATGGAAAAGTTGTTTTAAGTAATGTGTATTAACAGTTATTATAATGATAGAACCTGTTGATAGGAACCCAGTGTTCACATCAGTATTGTTTAGGTGTTGTGGAGTAAAAGGCTGAAGAGCCATGCTGGAAGCTGGGACTGGATTAATTGTTAAGATCTTATTTTATATTTCTTATTGAACTTGAATTTTTTGGGCAAATTCGAATCCACCAAACAAACTCAGAAGCAGCTCTCACTCCTATTTTACTGCCTTTTCCAAACTCAGGAGCTTCGCTCTAGTTACAGCCCAGCTACTTGTCTCCCACCACAGGTGCAGAGAATTCCAATTCCAGCGGTGTCAGTGACCGCAGGTGTAACGTCTTTTCAGTGGCACGAGGACACTCGTATCTGCGGATATCTGATAGCGGTGAGTCCCAAACTGGCTGTGTCACCTTCACTGGGAACTATGAGCCCCGTTAAACAGACTGTTTTCAGGCAAAGACAAAAGGGTTTAAACCCAACAGTGAGGAAACATCGCAGAATGAACTTCTTCCAAATTCTCAATCACTCTAAAATTCTCTGGGATCCACGCTCCAAACCTAAGGGATTATTAGGGGGACATTTAAACATTCGTAGTATCGTCTCAAAGAGTAATCAGCTGCAACATTTATTGACTCTAATCTGGATTTTCTCTGTATTTAGGAAACATGGCTAAATAAATTCTCTCATTAGATTACATAGATCTTAGCCATGTTTTTGGCACAGTATGTTTAAGCTCTGCATCACGTGCATATAATACAAACAAGAAACTGACATTACACTTCACAACATGTAACAATACCAACAACAACAATACTTCTGGGTATTTTTAATGTTCCTGAGAACGTGTTCAGGAGGGTCAGAGTCGAGGTTAAGAGGGGTATTATTAATCTATGTTAAAGAGCCAATTAGATGCAGTCTGATTTAATGGAATGTATTAGATTGAATTGTCTGTCTGTATCGACCACCATCATCTAACAGTTTGTTTTATGAGCAGCTATACAAAATACTTAAAGAATGTGATGGTAAATAAAGAGTTTATATTAATGGGTGATTTCAACATAAATTGTGATGATAAATCAGATAGGAAAAAACTTGAGATAATAGACCAGTGCAGTCTTACTCAGTTGGTGCAAGGACCAACTAGAGTAACCAGTTCATCCCAGACACAGATTGATCTGATGTTCACAAACAGACCTGAAAGAATAATAAAATCCTTTATCTTGATAACTGGATTGTCGGATCATAATATTACACTATTGGTACTGAAACTCATTAGAAAGCGGTTTGAAAACACCATCAAAACAAAATAATACCACCAGGGGATTCCAAAAAAACGAGATGAACAACCTTGAAACTGCCTTAAAACAAATTAACTGGTCTAACAGCTGCAAAACGTTTTTAACAACTACACTGCTCAAAAAAATAAAGGGAACACTGTTACGACCCAGTCCGTTAAGGTAAGGCAGTAACAAGTGATTTGGGATTGAAATGAAGGTGGTAAAGGACAACTGGAGTCCTGTTAAAAAGTCAAAGGTTTAATTAAAGGAGTTGACTCAAGAAATCCAACGAAGGTTAAAATCAAGGGCAACTGGACTTGGTTGAAGATACTGGAAGACGTTTCGTCCCTCATCCAAAGGACTTCTTCAGTTCTGACTGACTGGCAGGGAAACTCAGCTATTTAACCTCAGTGGGGTCGTTGGTTTGAACGACTGTAACGACTGTCGTCACAGCAACAAGGAACACTAACGAACCAGCGGTATCGATGACCCGGGATAACGTGTGTTCACGTTACATTTTAGTTTCCCTCACCTCACTTGGAACCTCGACGGAGGTGATATGAAAAAAAGTACCTGGAAGCAGGAACAGGTGCAACATTTCTACAATGGAAACCCAAACAAAGGCGAGTCGAGCCAAAGGGCCTCCGCTCAGACTAGCTTGGTTTGAGGGCGGGCTGACCCCGCCAGCCGCTTGACAAGCTTTATGACGCGTTTTCATTGTGACGTCACAAGTAAAGGAAGTGAAGGGCTGGACTACAAACCAGCTGTTTTCAGTTCAGAGCAGAGTTTTCTGTGGGAGATGGGAACTCCCTTTGGGCTTTTTCACTTTGCAAACCTGTTACATGCACAAAAAAGAGAAATAATTCAATAAAGGAGAGGGGAAAAGCCAAAAAGCAGAATACCACCTCTTTAATAAAATACTGTCCTTCCTGTTACTTTGATGGAAGTCCCTCTGTCCATGTTTTAGAATGGTTCGCTGATGCAGTAAAGCTAAACATCAATACTCATGTGATGAACAGGCTAGTACATGGTAAACAGAGGAAGATTTTACACATGTTCAGGTGAACGTCATTCATTGTTTCTATGGTATAGGGGAATAAATCACTATAAACTGGAATCCATGCTATAAGAAATGAGAATTAGCACAAAATACAACATATTAAGTCATGAGGACTCAAATGGCACCGAATACTAGGAACAATCTCCATCCACACCAGCGTTTTAGCTGCGTATCACAACTGATATCTGTGTTTATTAAAACAGCTGAAAATGCCGTTCAGGTACTCTAGCCATGAAGGTGCCGGTGTAAACAGGAAACAGATTGACTACTTTGAAGTTGCAAAATATTTGGCGAAAGACAGAAGTGCTACCGCAGACGAACAACGAACAAACAGTTCGTCTGTTTTAAAACATTAATGTAGTAGTATGGACGTAGCCTTAACCAAACACAAACAATGATACAAATACTAACCGCACACTAATCGCTAACTAGCTTTGAGCGCCGAGTAGACTATAATAGACTTTGGCAAAGTAATGTGACGCCCTTTCATTCGCAAGAATACTGGAATAAAGGTCTCTAAAGGTCCAGAGCCCCCGCCAAATGCTTTCACTGGAGAGTGGGCGGACTAGGAACAAACTCCTGGGCCATGTGTTTGCCCCTGTCTGTGTCTCTATCTTGTGTCACTGCAAATACCCTCTTGAGCCATACTAATATGTACATTCTGTTATCAAAAGTCATTAGAAATGAGCTTTTAAGTAGTCCACCACTAACACCCTTCCATCAATCTTCGCCGGGCCAATGTGAAAGCCAGTTGATGGGAACAGCAGTGACAAAAGCAGCACACACATTGTTTCAATGAAAGCAAAAATACAAAATGTCGCTAGCGCCCCCTACGTAGCATCCCCCGGACAAAGTTTCACCGATGTGTACGAAATTTCTGTGGTAACATTCACCCACAGTCATAGCGCCACCTGCTGGCAACAGGAAGTGACCTTTAACGAAGCAGCCCCCGCCGCACGTTTCACCTACATGTATGAAATTTCTGTGGCACATGTATCATGTCCAGACCTCTCCTATCTATAAAGATTATGGGTAATATTAAGGGTTTCCCTGCCGTTATAAGGCTTAGGAGGTGAGGCCCAAAATATCTTGTGTGCTGTGCCATGAAGATAAAATCACTGTGGAGGGAGGATGGAAACTAAAACTAAAAAACCTTTCCAAAATCGTTTGGTTATAGTCCCTCCACAGACAAATTCTTTAGCAAGTTTAGTCCTTATGCTTTCTGGTTGTTGTTTATTTATTATCTGCTCTAGCTTTTCCACCTATTTGTTCACAGATATGGTAAAAATAATGGTCCCAAATGATGTGAAATTGCATATTTGTCATTGGAAAAAGGTAAATCTTTTTGGGCGTTCATATCTCCGCCCACTTGCTACCTGAGTGGAGGTCTAATCAGCCAGGCGAGGTGAAAACACCTGTTCAGGTAATATCTGATCACCTGTCTCTCTCTGTCTCCACAGAGCCTTTCTGATCAGCTGAGCAGCGGCAGAGAGGAAAACCTGCAGACTGAAGTTTGATTTATAATCCAGCTACTTAACAGACTGAAGAGGAACTCTTCATAAAAATGGCCTCAAGGCAAAGAAGGAGCACAGAGCTGCCTCTTGAACTGTCTGAAATAATTGACAAACTTATCAAACATGCAGATTCATTCATCAAAGACTTTGACAACAGTGAACACAAGATGAGAGAGATTGTAGGAGAGATTCAGAAGATCACTGCTGAAGTAGAACAGATGCAGAAGGAAACGGATGCAGTCAGAACAACAGCAGTTGTTCCTGGAGGAGTTGGACTTGGACTTTTGATCCTTGCAGCTCTCTTCACTGGGGGGCTGAGCTTATTAGCAGGAGCAGCTGCCAGAGGACCAGCAGAAGCAGCAGTAGTAGTAGGATTAGCAGCATTAACAGCAGTAGCAGCAGTAGCAGTAGCAATAAGAGCAGCATTACAAGGAGCAGGAGCAGCAGTAGCAGAAGGAGCAGCTGTAGGAGCAGCAGCAGCAGTAGCAGAAGGAGCAGCTGTAGGAGCAGCAGCAATGGCAGCAGCAGCAGTAGGAGCAGGAGCAGCAATGGTGGCAGCAGCAGTAGGAGCCGGAGCAGCAGCAGCAGTAGGAGCCGGAGCAGCAATGGCAGCAGCAGCAGTAGGAGCAGAAGCAGCAGCAGGAGCAGAAGCAATGGCAGCAGCAGCAGTAGGAGCAGGAGCAGCAGCAGCAGTAGGAGCTGGAGCAGCAGCAGCAGTAGGAGCTGGAGCAGCAATGGCAGCAGCAGCAGTAGGAGCAGAAGCAGCAGCAGGAGCAGAAGCAGCAGGAGCAGCAGCAATAGGAGCAGGAACAGCAGCAGCAGCAGTAGGAGCAGGAGCAGCAGCCACAGCTGGATTAGGAGCAGCAGCAGCAGCAGGAGCAGTAGGAGCAGCAGTAGCAGCAGCAGTAGGAGCAGGAGCAGCAGCAGCAGCAATAGGAGGAGCAGTTGCTGCTAGTGTAAACACATCAAATATAAAAATACAGATAGAAAGTGTAAAGGAAATTGAAAAGCTGGGGAAAGAATTCCTGAGGATTGTTGAACCGCTGAAGATCGACCTTGGAAAAATACCAACTATGTGTGAACAGTTGGAGGAAGAATCAGCTGCAGTTCAGGTTGAGAACGCTCTGTCAGACATAGAGGAGTTTCAGAGGATCCTCAGACGAGTGAATGAACTGGCAGAATTGAGTAAAGATGTTTTGCATGTAGGGACAGTGTGGTTCAATAACTTGTTATTGATATTTATGATAATCTTCAGACTCACTGCTACCCCTAAAGAGGATGGAAAGTTCAGATACTCCATCATCCAGTCAGCTCATCAGAGTCGGAAGGTCTTTGTAGAGTTTTATAAGATTAAGATGACACTCAGACTTTATTTTCTGATACCTGATACTGGTATTCCTTTGAAGTGAGTAAAACATTTACTCAGATGAATCCATCCGTGTCATTTACACTTGGGACGCTGGGGTCATGTCCCCACCACTTTTTGAAATGGCTGCTTTTTAAAAGCATTTGCTAAAAGTTTTCTGAAAATTAGCTTGCAACAAGAAATGTTAGGCTAAATAACAAATACAAATTCTATGAGAACTATTTGCACAATAGAAAAGCATGAAATGTAAATAAATAATAAACGGATCTACATTGTCCAAAAAAGTAACTTAGGCTAATAAAACAAGCTGCGGATTACTGCATTATATTCAATAACAATTTTATATAAAGTGATTTGCCACCAGCCACATGCATTTTGTTTCCCTTGATATAAATAAAACATTTCCACCATAAATTGGTGCTTAAAATGTCTCCAGAATGTAGGAAATCAAGAGTTTAATGCTCAAAATCTCCTGGGGGAGGAACCCCAGACCCTCCATACAAATAGCAGATTTCCTCAATTAATATTTCTTCAAAATAGCATTGGAGTATCTTGTTGTCGAAAGTGTTTGGTCACACCACTAATATAAGTCCTTAAATGTCTGCACCACTTTTCAACACAAAGTGACACCCTTGGATTAATCACAGGAACAAATCCATTAATCCATTATCTTCCACTTCTGGTTGTGGTGGCAGATCCTCATGGAGGATCCCAAGGCGTGCTAGTTCTCGGTCTACCAGATACCAGAACAGCTCAGCTAGCTCCGTTCAAGACAAAGGAGCAGCGGCTCTACTCCAAGCTCCATTTGAATGTCTGAGCTCCTCACCTTGTCTCTAAGGCTGAGCCCAGACACCCTACAGAAAACACACTATTTTTCTGAACTCCCTATCTACTGGTTGTGTCCCTGATTATTTTAAAACTGCCTGTATGAACCCACTTTTAAAGAAACCTGGTTTAGATCCCTCCCTCCATCAAAATTTTAGAACCATTTCAAAACTACCTTAGAAAGAATTGTGTCCAAACAGCTGCTCACTGTACTGGAAAATAACAAATTATTTGAAAAGTTTCAGTCTGGTTTCAGGAAGTACCACAGCACTGAGACTGTCCTGCTTAAAGTCACCAATGACCTTTTAATGTCTGCTGATGAAGGTATGTGCTCAGTCCTTGTACTCCTGGACCTTAGCGCTGCTTTTGACACCATTGATCACAACATCATGTTAGACAGACTGAGGCACTGGGTGGGGATCTCTGGTACTGCCCTAGAATGGTTTTCATCCTACCTGTCAAATAGGAAGTTTTGCGTGTCTGTAAACAACTATGTCTCCTCGTTCTGTCCAGTTAAATATGGTGTGCCTCAGGGGTCGGTCTTAGGACCCATTTTGTTTTCCTTGTATCTGCTTCCCCTTGGACATATTATCCATAAACATGGCATTTCTTTTCATATTTATGCTGATGACACACAAATATACTTGCCCGTCAGATCCACAGACCCTGGAATGCTGAGTTCACTTAACAACTGCCTTTGTGAAGTTAAAAAATGGTTGTCAAATAATTTCCTCCAGCTGAACTCAGACAAAACAGAAATCCTGGTCATCGGGTCCCAGCAGATGGCAAATCAAATACTGCCATCTGCTGGTTCCCTAGTAAACCACATTAAGCCTGTGGCAAAGAACCTTGGTGTTTGGTTTGATAGTAATTTAAATTTCGAGCAGCACACCACAAAGCTTGTTCAATCATGTTTTTATCAACTTAGAAATATAGCAAAAATTCAATCTATGTTAACTTTTAAGGACACTGAGACCATTTTACACGCCTTCATCTCATCACGCCTGGATTATTGCAACAGCCTTTTCACCTGTTTAACCCAAAAATCTATTGATCGACTCCAGACTGTCCAGAACTCAGCTGCCAGGCTTTTAACCAGAACAAAGAAATATGACCACATTACTCCTATTTTAGCTTCATTACACTGGCTCCCAGTATGTTTTAGAATTGACTTTAAAATTCTATTGATCACTTTTAAAGCTCTTCATGGCCTCTCGCCTTGTTATTTTCTGACCTTTTAGTCCCATACGCACCAGCACGTACCTTGAGATCCTCGGGCAGAGGTCTGCTGTCTGTTCCAGAGTCTCGACTGAAAACTAAAGGGGACAGAGCGTTTGCTGTCAGGGCCCCGAGGCTCTGGAACAGCCTGCCCGAGGAAATCAGGTCGGCTGAGTCAGTGAACTCTTTTAAGTCCCTTCTTAAAACATACTTTTATAGGAGAGCCTTTCCCGATCTTATTTGACTTTATTTTATCCCTTTTATTTTATTCTATTTTACTTTTTTTATATTTATCTTAAACGTGTATTTTAGTCTTTTCAATGTTTTCTTTCTTTTATCTTGTATTGTTTCTGTATTACTGTCTTTACACTTGTTAAAGCACTTTGTAACTTGTTTTGAAAAGTGCTCTACAAATAAAGATTATTATTATTATCATTAATACAGAGGAAACAGATTTCAGCTGCTTGTATCTGCGATCTTCAGTCCCTACCCACAGGTCATGACCACAGGTGTGGGTTGGAACATGGGTAGACTGGTACTCTCTCTTCCCTACAACGATCCGGTTCAACACCTGCATTATTGCTGACGCTACAACAATCCACCTTTAAATCTTACGCTTCATTTCTGTTTTAATAATTGTCCTGGTAATGTGGTCACATATTGGGAGATGAAGATGGATACTGATTGGCTGTTGTTCTGGACACAGAAGGCTCTTATTATCTATTATTTTATTGAATCTTTATGGGTATAATGATACCAATCAAATTAGTATTTTCCTGTTAGATATTTATTGTAATGCCTTAGTTGTTTTTCACTAAAATAATTCTTACAGTACAAACTTGATTTATTGGGGGACACTTTAATATGGCACCTGATGATTGGCTTGACAGGAGCTCAGCTAAGTTTACCAATTACCATGATAACCCAGTGTAATCTGCTTTTTGGAATATCCATTCACTTGTTGATGTCTGGAGAATCAAGAACCAGAATGTTCTTCATTTTTAAAATAATAAATGAATAAATGAAATGAATGCTGTAAGAGGACACCAATGTCAGAGGAAGATATGGCTATTTTCATAAACCCTCAATCTAAATTGGATGAGTTGTATCTGATGGAGCTTTTACAGTATAAGGTTGAGAGCCAAGTGGATAGAAGATGTTGCTAAAGCAGATGATACACGGGGCAACTTTTAGAGCAATTGTGCAGGGCAACGTTGCCGTCAATGGTAATGAGTAAAGATTACCACCATAATCCCCTTCCCCACCACTCCACCACCCGCCCCGCACCGCCGCTATCTGTTCAAAAAATAGTCGGGCTTGCCAATAGCAAGACTGCCCAGCAACATTGCTCAAAAAGTTGCCCCATGTATCATCTGCTTTAGCAACAGGTAGCTGTGCTATCAGCTGCGGTAACATTGAGCAAGCTAAAAACAGGCTGATACACACTTTTTTTGCATGTTTTGCATGTTAAAGCTTCCACGTTGACATCATTATTGTCTCTGATGAGGACTGCACCCCAGAGCCAAGCACAGACTGGGACAGGACCGGGGTCGAGGTGAGAAAGAGGAGGAGGGATGCCAGGGTCCGCAGTACAAGCAGCACATATTCTAGGACCTGCGTCGAGCTTCACACTCCAACAACGGCATATGAACAGGTATATATATATGTATATTATAATATTAGTATATTATTTCCCAGTGTACTTGTCTCAAATTGTCTCTGGTGTTTCCTCCTAAGTCCTTGTGATGGCAATTCGAGTGTTTAAATAAACAGCTCAGGCAAACACTTGTTTTATTCAAGTCTTCTGCAGAAGGACTCACAGCAACACACATACGTACATGTATGCTCGAATGAGTGAGGAGAGCTGAGTGAGCCTGTTATTTATCCAGCTTTAGGGTCAATCTTATCATCCCACAGAGACACATTGTCCCTGAAGTCTGGATACCACAGAGAACAGAGATATTTGGACTGTTACGTTTACACAGATTCAGTGCCACATCACAGATGAGTCTCCCTGAGTCCAGGGTTACATGCAATATGTTTAGAATTCCC